CCTGAGAATAATATATCACATCTCAGACACATTATACAGCACCAGAGGGAGCTTCACACTACACAAGCATTTTGAAAATCATCACATTAAGAACGGCAAACTGCAACTACATTAATTAGGTATACTTGATTGTCCAGATGTCTAAGAAAATGACGGTTAAGGTGATATCAAAAATACCAAGGTAGTAGACGTCGCAAAGTAGCTGGCATGAGAAAAAAATCAGTCTGAATCAAAAGTGCCATCATCCATTTGCACTTGTTGCCTGGCTAGCACATTTACGGACATCTTAGCCTTCGCCCCATCACTGAGTTCTGCACAACGACTTGTTCCAAAGACCTTCCTGACTTGGAGAGACAGAAATTAGTTGAGGACTGTTAAGCATGTGAACAATGCACCTTGTCCACCATGTCAGGAGTTGCTCAACTTTTTGGTGTGCTGCGCAACCAGGGGGCTGTTCGAAAAAGTCTACGATGGTTTGCCAAAATGGGATGTAGTCGAAATCACCATCGATAGAGCGCCATGAGGTCACAGAAGAAAGGGCGAATTGCAGCTGGTTACCCAATATTAGTGCTTGGCAAGGAATTAGACAAAGCCTCTATTACTTACTTGACATGACACATAGGCAATTGAACAGGGAGTGACTTTATGCATCTTGATTATTTGCACTACATGTGTCTTAACTTTCTTGCCAGAATACAAATCCTTATTGACGCGTCGGTTATTAGCAATAATATCGGCCTCACTACCTTCATCTGTGACCTCCTTGGCAGAGGAGGAAGACGTGAATATAGCTTTGAAAACCTGCTAAATGTTAGATCTTTGTTGAGCTCTAAACCGGATATGACAAACCTGAACTAAAAGACTGCTCTTGAAGAGGCCCTCCTCCAGATTGTCCTGATCAGCCATGTACTTTTCGTACAGGAAAGCTGGCCAGGACATTTCCGTCACGACATAGCCGTCTGCACGATCCCTGATTCCTGTTCTGACACTGGTAGACAGTCAGTATGATGAAAAAAGTTGAATAAGATAGTTACATTGGGTTGCTCCCAGCTCGGTTGGGCAAAGTAGTCTACCACATGCATCATTGATGAATCTGCGACAGCTTTTGTCATCAGGGTCAACTGGGGGATTAGGTTTCAGTTCACGATTAACCCAGTCAGCAACGAGGCTCTTGAGCTTCAAGGTGTCATCTCCTCGAGCACCATCAGCCCCCTTCCGACCACCTCCGCCCCATCCATCCTCCACTCCGACCAATCACAGTCCACATCTGCTCCTACACTTCCGCTCGACCGCCCAACTGGTCACCTTCTAGAACATCTCCACTCAACTGAAACCACTTTCCCCTTTTAGATATATACCTTCCCCTTTGGTACATAGACCCTTACTTCCGGATCACCGGTAACTCCTCTGACCGCTCGATCACTGATCTGATGCGTACATATTGATATCTGCTCCGACTTCTGTCTTCACCTGTGTGAGTACTTACAAACTATATCCTTGGTACATATGTAGCTTTTGTTAGGTACCATGCCGGCTCAGGAGGCAGAGGGGTTGGGGCTTGGCTTCAGCTCTTGCGCTGTGCCCTTAGCCAAGTACGTGCCCCAAATTTGGAGCAGTTCCGACATTGTTTGACGATAGGACGAGTGAACCGCTTAGGTCCGCTTTGAGGGTCAGGAAGTAAGAGCTACTAGTGGTGGGCTGACTAGGAGCAGAGCGGAGAAGGCGGGGAGTGATGCGGAGGGTGGATAGGAGCAGGGGGAATGTTTGGTAGGAGAAGGGAAGGTGGAGGATAATGCGGAGGATGGGAAAAGGGGCAAGGAAAATATTGATAGGGGGCGGAGAAATAAGAGGGACACTTAGAGCACGGCTCTAAGTCAGAGCGGAGGGTCGGAGGTGACAACAAGTTGAGACTTGTGTCCAGAGGAGGCAAGGTCCTACTGAGAATTCTCACAAGAGGTAACTGCGAGAAGACAAGTAATATTAAGACTGGGGAAAATATCTAAGTACAGGATATGTTATATACTTCTATGTATGAGGCAGTGACCAGGATAACTATGTTGTAAAGCTATGTACCAAGGATATAATTTGTAAGTACTTACACAGGTGAAGACATAAGTTGGAGCGGATATCAATATGTATGCGTCGGATCAGTGATTGAGCGGTAATAGGAATTACCAGTGATCCAGAAGTAAGGGTCTATGTACCGAAGGGGAAAGTATATATCTAAAAGGGGAAAGAGGTCCAGTTGAATGGAGATGTTATGGAAGGGGACCGGTTGAGTGGTCGAGCAGAAACGTAGGAGTGGGTGCAGACGATGATTGGACGGAGCGGAGGATGGATGGAGTGGAGGTGATTGGAAAGCGGAGCAGATATTGATATTAGAGCAGTCAGATCAGGTATATGACAGCTTTACAACATAAGTCTCCTAATCACTGCCTCACACTTAGAAGTATATACATATTCTGTACTTAGATATTTTCCCCAGTCTTAATATTACTTGTCTTCTTGCAGTTTCTACTTGTGAGAATTCTCAGTAGGACCTTGCCTCCTCCGGACACAAGTTTCATCTTGTTGTCACCTCCAACTTTCCACTCCGACTTGAAGCCGTAATCTAAGTCTTCCCCTTTACTTCTCCACCCCTATCAATCATCCCCCTTTGCTCCCATCCACCCTCCACCTTCTCCACTCCACTCCTAGTTGGCCCGCCACTATTAGCACTTACCTCCCGACCCTCAAAGTGGACCAAAGCGGTCCACTCGTCCTATCGTCGGACAACGTCAGACCCACTCCAAATTTGGGGCACATACTTGGCTAAGGGCACAGTGCAAGAGCTGAAGCCAAGCCCCAACCCCTCCACTTCTTGAGCCCAGCATGGTACCTAACACCTGCCCCAATTCCAGCACCTGTAGTTTTTCTCCTAACTTGGTGATTTTTCGCCTTTGGCGAGCACCCTCAGATGTCAGCACTGATATTGATTGTGATGATCTTTGGGATTGGGGGAGGTCCTCCACCATGCTTGGCTGGGACATGGATTCAGACTTCCACAGTGAGAAGGGAACGAAATATCAATCAAGCTTACTGGAGGTGAGGATATGAGGCAGGAGGTCCAGATAGGCAAGTTGATGCAGCTCCTGCCACCGCAGCTTTATATGGTTGCTGTCTGACTTGGATGTCAAGAAAGGCAGTTATCAAATAAATATATGTTGGAGTCCATCGAGTCAGTGGGATGATGTGAACTATGAAGTTCTTTGTAGTGAGTGGAAGCACAGTAGCAGAATTGAGTATGGTACTGCCAGTGGCATCAGGACTCAGCAGACTAGTGGTAACAAGCTGTAATGGGCTGTAGCTGTAGCGCTAAGCTATTTAGAGTTAAAATGTATTTTTAATCAGATTCACGGAACCGGGAACCGATTTCAGACTCAAGCGCTACTCATCTTCACTTCATAAATGGAGTGGATTGATCGTTCAAAAATGAGAAAACTTATATTAGAGAATATGGAAGATAGATCTGATTGTGAATGGCAAAGCAAACTGTGTAGTAGAACTACAATAATGCCGGAGGTGCTCTGCAAACCTTAAGCTCACCGTGGGGATAATCAACAGAATATGTAAAGATGTAGGGAAACACCCTGCACAGCACACCATCAGCACATTTCAGGACAAGACCATGCCGATATGCAAAAAGAAAGTTCTCGTCAAGCAAAATTTCCCAGCATCCATGAAACAATTCCTGGCAGCAGTGAGTATGAAGTGATGCCATGCCAATTTTTGATATGCGCAATAGGCCACTCAAAACATCTTTGATACCATTGGGAAGCTAACAAGGCCGTCAGTATCAATAACCAGTTGATAGGCATATTGCAAGGAGGACTCACTGAAGGCAAGAACCCAATGAGGTGGCATGCCCCCAATTGAGGTAATGATCGAGCATACTTCATCAGATTTCCAAAATAGAGTAAAGTCACGGTGGCAAGCTTTCGCAGTTCCAACTTGAAGGTTTGCTAGGTGAGTTGCATCGGAAAAGAACAGTAAATTTATCTGGTTCAAAGGACTACAATGGTACAGTCAACTGAGTCCGAACAAATTAGAGGCAGTCTGGATGGTGTTCCATAGCGTTAAAATGTCTTGCAAGTAATCCAGACAGAATAAATTTATCGGGTTTGAAGAAAGGATGACAAGGGTACAGTCAACTGAGTCTGAATGAATTAGAGGCAGTCTGGATGGTGTCCCATAGCATTAAAATGATTCATTGAATTCTGTTCTGGTGTGGGAGTGATGGCCTGGAGACATCATCAATATCATTGGAGGCATTCAGGTCCTCAGCTAGATGCTCAATATCATCAAAAGGCCTGGAAATCCTTCTCCTAGGAAGTGCGGGCGGTGCTGAAGTCAAGCAATCCTCAGTGAACTGCCAGAGACCTGGGAGGGGCATATATTCCATCATATAATCAATAATCACCAGCACTCACAGTTTAAACATAATTCCCGATGATATATTGCTTTGAGTACCTCCTTGGTAAAAATTGAGCATGTCCATCACAAGGCAGCGATGGCATTATCTGGCTTGCGGAGGAGCTTGGCAGATATCATAGTATTTTGGGTAAGACACTGTCTGAGGATGGTAGGCGTGAGCATCACATGCAGGACGAAAACAAAACTCAAACCTGTGCTTCTAATCAAGGTCGTCAGAAATTGAGGGCTTTTAGATGGGCTCGAATGATAGAAAGATTTGCAAATCCATTTCTTCACCACTCTCGGGTCAGGCCAGCTAAACCGTGCAGAAGAAGGTCAAATTGAGGTTCATAAAGATGCTTTGAATGAACATTGGTGGGTCTGCTGTGTGCAATGGATGCAATGTGTGTGCACGAGCCCCACACAAACTTGCAGCAGAATCATGATGGATCAAGATGTAGAGTTGTTTATCTTTGTTTAATCCAGAAGCTTCCACCTGCCATATTGGTACTACAGGCACATAAACATCCGAGTCTGTGTTCTAAGTACTATCTGGAGCAGTCCCTGATGTCAATATGCAATCCCATTTTTATGTGCTGACTGGAAGCTGCGACCAGCTCTGCCGACTCTCCACACTTCCGCTGCAATTCACGAATTTCCTCAGCATTCCCTCCCTTGTTGTCTATGAAGCTAGTCACGTCAAGTGTTATGACATTAAGACTTATCTTTTAGTTTTGCATGAGCTTTCTGGACTGTTGTGTCTTGCGCCTCATCAACATACCTGCCAGTGGTGTAGTCGATCAAGATCTAGACTCAGAGTTAGCCAGATGAGAGATCTACATACTACAGACAACCAACCTGTTGACGAAATTTTGCAAGACCTTGAGCATCGCATGCATACTGAGTAGGATTGACTGGGATCCAATGATTCCAAGCAAAACAGCTCAATGGTAATAGTGAATGACAATTATAGCACAGCTGTCATTAATATGCAGTCTACATGGGTATAGTAGCATCAATACTACATAATGCACGTGTAGGTTATGACAGCGGCTTACTTCGTAGTACCTCTTTGCCATACTTAATAACATCAAGAACTGACTGCCATTCAGTGCCTGTTTTCTCGTGACAGATACGCTTGGTAATGGGAGCACCAGGTGGAGCCAGCTGCTTGGGCACACAATACAGAGGTATATTCTCCCTGTTACAGCCATTGTCGGAGTTGGTATCGACACTATCAAGCTTCTGCTTGCAATTGTTGCAAGTAACGTGTACTCATATAACCTCGCTACCTACTCGATCTTTCTAATAGTATCTCATAAGTACTGCGAAGTCACATACAAAGACTGAAAACACACCTTCCTACTAGTAGCAGCTACAATTCTCGTGAGGTGCTCGCCGAGTGCGGCACCTCTGCATCTTGTGTGAGACTCATATGACTTCTCCTTATTGCCAGGGATCAATGGAAGCAGTGATTGAGACACACGTAATATGTCAGCACTGAGTTTAGAGGATTTTACATCTGGACTCAGAGCAGATAGAGGTATTGGAAGCTTCAAGTTCTGTCTGGATGGACTCGGAGGTGCAGGGAAGACAAAAGCCTGAGGGTCTGTGTATGACAGGTCAGGTGCCCAAGTTGGTGGCTGAGTACTAGTTGCACGAGAACTTTGTGTGCTATAACACATGACAGCTGGGTAGTTTGAAGTTGATAGTACAAGTGAAACTTTGTCCAGTTGTAAGCCCGCTCTCTCTTAGTGTTGTGAGCTGTATACATTGTCACCATTGTGTGGGGGTGAGCTAACAATGAGAGCCTGGTCTGTCTAAAATGGCTCAGTAGCGAAAAATTAAGGTTTTCAAACCTATCTTAGCCATAGGGTAATGTGAACTAGTATGAAGTCCTTTGTAGCAGTGGAAGCACTGGCGGTAACAGTCAAGTACTACAGAATCAAGTTGTAATAGGATATAATGTACATAAACAAACATCATTTTCAATATCATTATTGTGATCTGTTAGGTACCGTGCTGGCTCAGGAAGCAGAGAGGTCAGGGCTTGGCTTCAGCTCTTGCGCTGCGCCCTTAGCCGAGTACGTGCCCCAAATTTGGAGCAGGTCTGACGTTGTCTGACGATAGGACAAGTGGACTGCTTAGGTCCGCTTTGAGGGTCAGGGGGTAAGAGCTACTAGTGGCGGACTGACTAGGAGCGGAGTGGGGAAGACGGAGGATAATGGGGAGGGTGGAAACGAGCTGGGGGAATACTTGATAGGAGCGGAGGAGGCGGAGGATAATGCGGAGGGCAGAAAGGAGCAGGGGGAATACTTGATAGGGGCGGAGAAGTAAAGAGAAGACTTAGAGCACAGCTCTAAGTTGGAGTGGAGGGTCAGAAGGTGACAACAAGGTGAAACTTGTGTCCAGAGGAGGCAAGGTCCTACTGAGAATTCTCACAAGTGGTAACTGTGAGAAGACAAGTAATATTAAGACTGGGGAAAATATCTAAGTACAGGATATGTTATATACTTCTATGTATGAGGCAGTGATCAGGATAACTATGTTGTAAAGCTATGTACCAAGGATATAGTTTGTAAGTACTTTACACAGGCGAAGACATAAGTCGGAGTGGATATCGATATGTACACGTCGGATCAGTGATCGAGCGGTAATAGGAATTACTGGTGATCCGGAAGTAAGGGTCTATGTACTGAAGGGGAAAGTATTCATCTAAAAGGAGAAAGAGGTCCAGTTGAATGGAGATGTTATGGAAGGGGACTGGTTGGGCGGTCGAGCGGAAGCGTAGGGGTGGATGCAGATGATGATTGGACGGAGCGGAGGATGGATGGAGCAGAGGGGGTTGGAAAGCAGAGTGGATATTAATATTGGAGCGGTTGGATCAGGTATATGACATGATCCCTGACATCTAACAGCGACTAGAAGTGCACCCATTCTGACGTATCAGCAGATTGAATTGAATCCGGAGGTACCGTTCTATAGCAGTGATTCTTCAGAAATGAAATAGGTCATTAAAATAACTCACCTCATTCATTGTTCACCGCCAGTGAAGTCCATCTGACCACCATGACAATTGCGATAAACATAAAATTTGAGTGAGAAAGCTTTGGTAGTGGGCTTTGCCTCTGAGTCTGGCTGGTGGCCAGGCTATTACATAAGCAAACCCTATATAACAGCCATATATACTCCTATAGGCTAAGGTACGGTACCGTCAACTCAACATCAGCAAAAGTGGCTGAGATTTCCTGCAGTTTAAGTGTTAGAAATCAATTCAGTTCACCTGAGACTATACCAAACAGGGAATGTCAGGGATCATAAAACGATAGTTTTTCAATGGGTCCAAACATTGACGAAGCCTCAAGGTCTAAACAGCCAATGGTACAGGTATGGTGACCATATCACGGCCCTGTTTTGAAAGTCTTGTCGTGTCAACGTTCGAATGAGGGAGGAATGAACTCTGCTGTCGGACTGAATACTGCGAGTCCGAAATGCATCCAAACTTTATCATTACTAGTCTGAATGATATGAAAAAAACACATCATACAAAACATGATTATGGTAGTAGTGCCCCCTCAAAACTTGAACTACCCTCCAAGGCGCCCCAGCCTGCACTCGAACCTGATGTAAAATTGAAATGGTTATTATGCTGCAGGTCATACTGCATCAATGGTGGCGGATCACGATGATCCAATGTTTCCTCTCCGTAAGAGTGTGACTCTGGCGGAATGTGGTCATGGTATTCAGGTTGTGGCTGGAAGCCTGAAGGCGTTTCACCACTGTAATAAAAGCCCTGCGAACTGCCATCGGGAACACATGGTGCGTATTGTGCAACCTGAGGGGAATCTACAAATCCATGAGGCTTGGGGTACCACAATGCATTAGACAACGAAGATGAAGATGATGCAAGTGTGTTTTGAGGTGTTAGTGATGGTACTGAGTTGGAAGATGGTGTTGATGCTGAGGTACTCATCACCGATCAGTATAGTTCCAATGAGGAGGATGGGACATATATATTGTATTTCTTGATAGGTGATGCTTCACCTGTGCGAGATCGAAGAGCCTTTCTGTAAACATAGCATCAATATATATATATTTGTGTCTTAGACACACTTACAAGCATTGTTCATGGTGTGCGGTCATGCGGGGCAAGAACTCACCTTCATCAAGCTCAGGGTTGTCTAAGTATTTTCTCATTGCATTCCGGATCCCAATTGCAACAGGTTGGAACTCATGCGTAGAGAATGGCAGTACATTTTTAGATTTAGATAGCTGGCCTGTTGCAGCATGGCAAATAGCACAATTTAACTAGTGTCAACAGTGCATCAGTATCTGGTGGGTTTTTGACAAACAGACTCACCGTAGCACCCGAGAGCTCGTACATGTACCACGATAGGTTCAAGATCCTTGACATTGGGACATCGAGAAAAGGCGAGTTCCTTCCAAACCAAAAACCCTGATGAAAGTTGAAATAGGTGACAGCTGAAAACATGAGAATTTTCCCGCGGTCAACATCCCAGCCATGTAAAAAATAGTTCCGGAGATCGTTTTCATTCAACATGATGTTTGCATGTGTGGCTACTATGTCTGCCATCTGGTCTTCTTCAAACATATTACCATCAGGCTGGAGGCCAATGTTAGGTACCGTGCTGACTCAAGAGGCAGAGGGGTCGGGGCTTGGCTTCAGCTCTTGCGCTGCACCCTTAGCCGAGTATGTGCCCTGAATTTGGAGCGGGTCCAACGTTGTCTGACGGTAGGACGAGTGGACCACTTGGGTCCGCTTTGGGGGTCGGGGAGTAAGAGCTGCTAGTGGCGGACCAACTAGGAGCGGAGCAGAGAAGGCGGGGAACGATGCGGAGGGTGAATAGGAGCAGGGGGAATGTCTGGTGGGAGCGGAGAAGGCGAAGGATAATGCGGAGGATGGAAAAGGGTCAGAGGGGAATATTGGAAGGGGCGGAGAAATAAGGGAGAGACTTAGAGCATGGCTCTAAGTCGAAGTGGAGGGTCGGAGGGTTGGAGGTGACAACAAGCTGAAGCTTGTGTCCAGAGGAGGCAAGGTCCTACTGAGAATTCTCACAAGTAGTAACTGCGAGAAGACAAGTAATATTAAGACTGAGGAAAAATATCTAAGTACATGATATGTTATATACTTCTATGTATGAGGCAGTGACCAGGATAACTATGTTGTAAAGCTATGTACCAAGGATATCATTTGTAAGTACTTTACATAGGAAAGACATAAGTCGGGGCGGATATCAATATGTACGCGTCGGATCAGTGATCGAGCAGTAATAGGAATTACCGGTGATCCGGAAGTAATGGTCTAAGTACCAAAAAGGAAAGCATATATCTAAAAGGGGAAAGAGGTCCAGTTGAATGGAGATGTTATGGGAGGGGACCGGTTGAGCGGTAGAGCAGAGCAGATACAAACGATGATCAGGCGGAGCGGAGGATGAATGGAGTGGAGGGGGTCGGAAAGTGGAGCGGATATTGATATTAGGGCGGTCGGATCAGGTATATGACAGCCAAGAGCCAAGAGGTAGTTCTTGGCTTCCTGAACCAATTTTCCCCATAAGTTTGATAGTTCATCCAATATAAGCTTGATGGATCCAGTAGTAGGTGGAGTAACTATATATGAATAAATATGCATTCATATCAATGCAAAAAAATATGTATGGTGGCTGCTCCTCGCGCATGCTGAGGAGAGGCA